TGTGTGATTTTAGTCTCTCATTAAAAATTTAATAATTGTACTATATATACATACATATATATATATATATATATATTATTTTAAAACAAGGGGGGCTTGTGTTTCGAAATAACAATAATAAATAAATATAATAATAAAAACAATTTTTATTTGATATGAAGCCTAAGGTGGTGATAATTGTTGATTTTGTTTTTGATGGCTTGTGTTTCCCTAATCTGGGGCAAATCCAAGGTGTCATTGGAACTTGGAAGAGTGTGGCTTAAAAGGTTTCTCCCATTGTGGTTGTGGGCATCTGTCAAGAGAATAAGTCAAAGGAGACGTGGCTGACTCCTAACATGTACAAAAAACTCGACATGAATTTGGGTGCAAATCCTAATGCAGCCACGGTAGCTGAGGTTACAACGATCGTTCAAAAGATAGCATGATTCCAAATATATTACTAAAATTTTACAAATCATATGAATATATCACATAAATGTATGTTATCAAGTAAAAGTCCTAATGAAAAAAAGCAGCACTGATTCCATTTCCTTATTTACCTATGGACAACAGGAACGGATTCAAGCAACATACGCGAGAAACTTACATATGACAATTGTAACTAATACACCTTACAAAGACAGTGGGACATGAGTATATGACTGATATATATCATTGTTGTTGTCACGGTCGTCACATGCATTCTCAGATTCTTTCCAATCCAAACCTCCGTTTTGCACGCGCCAAATTAACTGCAATCAGAACTAAAAGCTTGTCTCTCATGTCAAACACAAACTTGAATTGTGCATTTCTCCAAGATCTCTTCAACAACAAACTACCAAACACTAACCAGAAGGCCGTAATGTACCCCACAGCTATGCTTGCATATAACCCCAATCGTTCAATCTTTTCATCATCTTCATCAGCACCATCTTTTTCTTCCTCTCCATTTCCATGCAACAATGATGAGCAGTCAATAGGTAAAGGATCCCCACAAAGGTAAGGGTTGCCTGCATAAACCGATGGATCATTAAAGGTCCCAAACTGATTAGCAATCGGAATTTGTCCAGACAGATTGTTGTATGACAAGTTCAAATAGCTCAGGAAAGTCATGGAAGCCATGCTTGGAGGTATTGGACCCAAAAGACGGTTGTGCGAAAGGTCAAGACTTTCTAAATCTTTTAATGATCCAATGTTGTCGGGTATGTGCCCAGTTAGCTTATTCCAGGACAAATTCATGGCACCCAAGTGAATTAGCTCAGCTAACTCCACTGGGATCTCTCCAGAAAGGTGATTGTTAGAAAGATCAATGGCGGAATACACGAGCATTCGGCTCAAATAATCAATTATTCTTCCTTTCAGCGTCAATTCTATATGCCTTCTGTAGGTTAACGAGTCATAAAAGATTGTTGGATGGGGAAGATACGCAAAGTTCGTTTGTGGCAATTTGAAACCGTGCACATCACCCAAACACGTTGGTAAAGACCCTGATATGTTGTTTTCTGCCAGATCCAATAAATGGAGGAAAGGTAGACGACATAGCTCTTCGGGAATGCTTCCACTGAGTCTGTTGCCTCTAAAAAGTAACTCTGAAAGTGAAGGAAGGTTTTTGGTTATCTCATTTGGCAGAGACCCAAAAAACCTATTGTTTCCTAGTGAAAGAGTTCTCAGAGTAGTACAATTTTGAAAGACAAAAGACAAATCTACAGAGAGATTATTTTTGCTCAATTCTAGGATAAAAAGTGAAGGTAGAGAACATATTGAAGCTGGAATTCCACCTGAAAAATTATTGTTGGATAGATCAATGGTTTGTAAATTCTGCAAACCCGTCCAAAACACGGGGATTTCCCCTCTCAAATAATTGTTGGAGAGATCAACATAAACCAATTTTTGAATCTTATTTATGGATAGTGGAATGCTCCCATTCAGGTGCTTATTTGAGAGATCCAAGAACCTCAAACCTGACATCTCCTGGCCAATATTGACTGGCACAATTCCAGACAGTAAGTTGTTCCTTAGATTGAGAACAGTGAGACCAGACCAAAGTGGGATTGAGCCCTTCAACTGGTTGAAAGCAAGGTTGACGATTGATGACAGGGTCGAACAGAAGTTCAGTTCAATCGGAAGGTAACCACTTATTTTGTTGTGAGAAAGATCTAGCTGACGAATCTGAGAGGACATGCTGTAAAGCCAACGAGGTATCTCCCCAGAAATTTTAGCATTTCTTAGGATTATCTTCAGCAAGAACACTTGGTTGTTGAGCCAATTAGGAAATGTAGGGCCAACTTGACAATCACGAATTTCAACATAATGCAAACTCTTAAAAGGTGGAATCCAATCTTGTGTCACATTAAAGATGAATGAGTTCGTTTTAGATGATACAGAGAAACCGACAATGTTTGTGAGATTATGGAAATGAATGTTTGTCATTGTACCTTCCCAATTGTTCTCGAGTAGATTTAGGAGTTGCAACTTGGTTAGTTGACCAATACTTTTTGGAATTTTCCCGTTCATCATGTTGCCTTCCAAATCCAGATAAACAAGGTTTGATAAGTTTCCTATTGATGCTGGTATAGGACCTGAGAGTGAGTTGCCTGACAATTCAAGATCATGCAAACTGTTGAATAGACCTACTGAATGGAGCAATTTCCCTGTCAAGTGATTTGAATTTAATTCTAAAAGCTTCAGACTTTGGTTGCTACATGATGACAAGGTCTCCAACATTTGAGTTATATCACCGATGAGATCATTATTAGACAAGAGTAGTCTCTGAAGCTTACAGAGATTCCCTCTGCCAAGCACAGGAAGGGGACCTCTAAGAGATGAAAAAGTGAGATCAATATCTATGAGATTACTCATATTGAACAACCATGACGGTGTTGAGGAATTAAAATAATTCCCCGATAGATCAAGCACAGAAAGTGATGTAAAATTTTCAAATGGAAGAGATGGAGGGAGAGTAACAAGCTTGCAATTAGGCAACTGTAATTCTACCAATGATGGCATCATACTCAATGCTCGAAAAAATTCATAGGATGCACTAGAAATATTAACAGAACCCATGTGAAGATACTGAAGTGAAGACAAAGCAGAGAGCCAGCTTACATCTATTATCCAAAGTGATGAAAATGCTATAGAGATATCAAGATAAAGCAAATTTGACAAGTTGCCTAGATGAGTAGGGACCATTCCAGCAAAATTAGCATTGGATAGGTCAAGATAACGCAACATATTGAGAGAACCTATAAATTTTGGAATAGTGATTCCTTCGAAGTCATTGTCACTTAGGTCCAAGTGACTCAGATGTTTCAAGTCTGTCAATGAAGGACTTATCTTACCGCCTAAGGGTAATTTATTTGTAGTGGAGCAGATTTGGGAGTACCGGAGGTGAAGCTTTAGAACGTGACCGGTTTGGTTGTCGCACTCTATACCTTTCCAATAACAACAATCTTCCCCAACCCATGAAGAAAGACAATTGGAAGCATCTTTGAGGTTTTTTTTTATTTTAAGGAGGGTCAATCTCTCTTCCTTAATGCAAAGAGTGCTAACATTAAGGCTCGTAACTACAAAGAGAGTTGATAAAAAAAGAAAGAGGAAAGGAATAACAAGATATTCAGAGAAAAGTTTTATGCCTGCCATCCTTCCCACAGAGGATGTCAGATAAAGGGTTTCAAATTAATATGTTCCAACCTCTTGATCAGTATGTATATATGTGTGTATATATAGAGAGAGAACAAACAGGCTGGGAAATTTCATGGTGCTATCTTTCTTTATGCCTTTCTTTATTTCTTCTTAATGCATTAGCATTAAATATGTTTTTTATATTGACAAACAAAATATGGTGAAGCTGTATCTGATATGGACCATCTCTGAAAAGGTCAACAAGTCAATCCAGGATGCTGCATATGCTAAATAATAGCGTTAAAATACACAGCTACTGATACAAGTTATGTATATGCAAGATAACACAATAAAAATCCTGACAAATAATTTCTAGAATCAAAATGTTCATTTGTAAATTAAAATTAGATGTAGACTACGGGCACGCCTCAAAGTTTATATCATGCCCCTTTCTAAAAGACAAATGGTAAAATATGTTGAGGTGTAAAGGTATATTGAGTTGAATTGAACTTGTTTTAAAATAAAGTCCTTTACGTGATTCTTGACTTCCCGTCCTTTTGATATATTTGTATACAATTATCAGTATTTTCTTAGTAAAGACTGGGGTGTACACAGCTTGTTAGATGTTATTTGTTGCTCTTGTATGTTTAATTTCATGATATTTCTTTCTGTACTGTAGTAAAAAAAGAGTAACACACACACATATATATATATATATATATTATAATTGTTAACACCTCTCTGTCGATCTTTTTTTCCTCTTATCTTCCGGCAATATATGGTCACAAATAAATAATTGAATTAAACAGATGGATAGAATTGTAGCAAGAAAAACAGATAGATAGTCCATGTATGTTGTCCAAAAAAACACACACTAAATAATGCAAGAGATACAATGTTAGAATCGGTGTAGCAAACGTGAACAGTTTCGGTAGATATTGCTTGATCCAAGACGGCAAGAGGAATGCATAGACCAAGCACAGCATAAATTCTCATAATCATAAATCCCATTGTTTAGATGCTCTTTGGAAAATTGCCTTCAACTGTTGAGTGTCAGCTAAGAAGGAATTCAACAATCGAATCCACTGTTGAATGAGAAAGACAATATGGTCTAATAAAACTCGTAAAGAATGAATTAGCTTGGTATAATCCAGTTTCTCAAGGCATAACAGTCCACCATTACAAAGGAAAAACGGGGGGGGGGGGGGG